GGGCACTCTGTAGCTTGAGTCCTGGGAATGCTCATGCCTGTTTCACAACACTGCAGAATCTCGCTTTCACAAGTCACACCTCTAGGGCAACCACTCACAGGCCAAGAGCCGGGGACCCCAGGATACTTGGCAAAGCTGAAGTAGCTGCATGTTCTTATATTTCTCTTCCAGCCACATCTGCGTTTTGTTTTCTCTCATTTCAAATGTTTCCCAACACATCATGTTTAGTGAGGTGTTTAAGACAGACTGAGAGATGCTGTTGGAGGCAATGTTTTATAGCACAGTTTGTACACTAGTTTATTGCCAAATTAAAATAAAGATGTAATCTGGCAGACTCAGTCTGCTGCTAAGCCTTCCTTGGGTGGTTTCCTGCATCCGTGCAAGAAAGTGGGGAGAAACCAGCGATGAAACGAAGGACTCTATCTGTTCTCCTACCTGCTCAGGTTCCAAATGCAGAGAAACAAAAGAATGAGCAAAATACTGGGTTCGCCTACTGCTTAATTACAGAATATAAAAATGACTAAAGGAAACCAAGGCACACTGCTGTTCCTATAATAAACGTATGGTATTCTTCACAGCATGTGTAGTGATTCACTGTTGTTTTGTAAAAAAAGTCTAAGAGGTGTGACTTTATGTGACGATATCCCCCTGCCTATCTGACATGAAATTTTCATAGTGTCTGTAATGTTTTCTTTTCCTGGAAATTTCTGGGTTTTCCAAAGGCATGTTCTCTCATAGACCCTTTAAGAGCCAAGGTTTCTGGCTCCCATGTTTATATTGGATGCATCCTCTGACAGGGCTTCCTAAATAGTGAGACTATTACTTTAGAAAATCAAAGAGAAAGTGCTCCACACTTTTCCCCTATGGTCATTCCAGAGTAGCCTGGACAGCCACAGCCCATTCAAGATAGCTTTTACCTCTTGGCAACCAATAGATTTCTCCCTCTAAGAAAAAGGATGCAAACATCAAAACATCCTGAATTTACAAAACTTCGGAGGGCATACTGCCATATACATTTCTCTCTTATTAAAGCTTTTCTAAAATGTATTTAAAATCCGGCTTCTTATGGAACCAATGAACAGTAAAACTCCAGGTTGGGCCAGAAAAAAAAAAAAAAAAACAATCTGCTCAACAAAGCTCTTTGAGTCCCTAAAACCTGACATCAAAAATTTCGGCTGGGTGACCAGGCATTCAAGATGAAATGCAGCCAGAACAGAACACTGGGGCCAATCAGGGCTCTAACCTTCCAGCCAGAGATCACACTCTGTCTTCAGGGCTCTAAGAGTTTCACTCACTAGAGGAGACAAAAGCAATGGCAGTGAAATTTGGACGAGTAAATGGGGCTCTACATTCCAAAGAGAGAAAGACATGGGGAGCTGCAGAGAAGGAAAGCGAGGAGAGAGGGGACCCTACACAAGTGAGTTCTAAAGGAGCTGGCCCTGAAACAGAGACAGGGCATCTTGCCTATGGAAGTTTGTTTAGAAGATTTATTTATTTATGAATATAGAACTGGCATACATGCCAGAAGTGCAGGGGGTGAGAGGATTCATCAGAGACAGAGTGAGGAGCAGAACAGTCAGATCTACTGAAATATACTGATAAGGGGAGCAGTGGGCAGACAGGAGAGGTCTGATGTGCCATGTGGGTCAGCTCCCTGGCCAGGAATTGAACTCAAGCTGCACTGGCTGCACTTAACTTCATAGTTCCTTAACCCATTGAGCCACCAGGGAGGGTCTTACCTTGAGATTCCCCTCAGCTTAGGTAGGGAAAGAACAGCATACAACCAAGCGAATACTAGAACTGAGGTTATGATCTTCACTGCAAGTTCTGCAGCAGCAGAAATAGCAGTTGTCACAGAAAAATTGATGAGCAATACTTACATGAAAGAATAAATGTTCCCTTTCCCTGCACAAATACAGTCATTGACTTGCCAACGCCAGCCTGGGTCCCTCCTTAGGGCGCACTGCCGCATCTCATCAGTGTTAATAGCACCATGATTCATGGGTGATCGCCAGTTATTATTTCTGTATCACTGACCCACCTGAGTGGCCACAGACCCTCTCAACTTGTCTCCCAGCCAACACCATCAGCTAATGGCTCGGTTGCAGCACACTCTCCTCCTGGCTAGTGTTACATTCTTCATTCCGTGATTCATGCCCTGCAAATGGACTCTGCTCCAAACCCTACTCTTATTAGAGGGTCATCCCCATTTTTCTCCTAAGGATAGTTCTCTGTCATTCTCTCCTGGAAAAACAGAGGTGAAGAAAAAAATGGCCTCCTTCCATCTGCTGACCTTAATTTATCCCCCTCCAGAATAAGAACTCTTAACCCATTTCATGTGAGGCTTTCTATTATCCAGTAGATGTTGACATATGATACATAGATTAGTTTTACCCTTTGAAGAAAGTTATTAACATCTTAAATTATTGGTGCTTTAGCTATATAAAGAGAAGACCGTTAAAGCATCTTACAACTCAAAGATAATGGAATTCATGTGGTCTGTGGTCACAAAAGATGCTTTGGAACTTCTGAAATGGCATCCCAACAGATCTTCCTACTTTTGACCTCACACTACAGTTCTTCCTTATATTTCTACCAGAAGAAATATTGTAATCTAACTGCTGAACATTTCTTTCCATTGTCAAAGGATTCAAAAGGCTCCTCACTAAGAAAACAAACAAACAAAAAATATTTTGCCAAACTGGTAACCAGTTAAAAAAGTCAAAACAATGAACATTAGGTTCAAAAAGTATATATAAGTATAATCAGCCTTCCCAAATTTCAGTGTTCACCAAACCGATGAATTCACAATCCTAGAATTATGATTTTTCTAACTTTATTATTGTATCACCTCTCTGCTGTAAAGATGCCATCACTCCCGTACCACACCCGAATAGTGGGGTGAATAGAACCTATTCATTAAGGTTCAGGGAAATCACTTCCTAACATCTCTACCTCCTGCACTGAGAGCTGCCTGTCTCCCCAAGCCTGTCCAGCTCTTCTGAGTGCATGTGAGTGAAGGCACTTATTTGCTCTTCCAGATTATTTTGGCAAACTCACAGACTTTTATCTTTTCTCCTCAGATGAATTGAAAGCTCCATGATAGTCATTTTACCCCAACATTACATTCTGCAGCGTACCTAAACCAAACTGGAGTATAGTATTTGTTTCGTTTTTTTCCAATTTCATGGAAGTGCACCTTCAATTATAATGACCCCTACAAACACATGCTAAGACAAAGGAAATCAACGCCAAGGACTGTTGATTACACTTGGCCAGGTTGGGCCCACGACCAGCCCATCCTTGCTCCTCCAAAGTTACCCACATGCTTTATGCTCTTGGGAGATAATACTTGAGGGGCGGGTTCATGAAGGGCTGTATTTCGGGGCATCTCCTTCAGCACAACTACAAGTATGCACAGTTTTCACTTATCCAGGGAAATCTGGTCCTTCCTGTGCCTCTGGAATCAGGAGGAAAATTAACCAACTGTCAAAATAAATATAATAACCCAGTAGATTAAATGACTGGTATTCTGCCCCGAGCTGTTCGGTCCTCCCCTTTCATAACTGCACCATCCTGGGCCAGATGCACTGTGGCTGGACTCCAGGAATGAAATTGTACATTCTCTGAAAGGGTAGCCAGGCTGTTCATGAGGGAAAAAAAAAATACTAATTGTAAATCTTTTCTATTTTTAGGCTTAATGTGCATTTTATTTGGCAGTGAGGGCAGCATGAATAAAATTCCAATCCTAAGAATTTTAATGTGCTTCTTCCAAAGTACTCTTGTCAGTAGAGACCTTGGAAAGCTATTTTCTCATTCCGTTCCTTCACGGAGAGCCCTCCATTATCTACATCAATCCAGAGAGATTAACCCTCCGATATCCTTCTTGCTCATATGAGCCCAATGGTTCTTTAAATATATGCCATTTCTAACACTACTCTAAGATTTCCCATAATAACTTCATAGAATTGTGCATTTCACACACGGTATCTCACATTTTATTTATTTATTTTTTTTGGACTTTTATGACTGGACTTTCACATTTGTGTTCTGTATTTGGTCTCTTTTAATTATAATCCAGTCGTATTTGCTTTGGCCAGCCTTATATTCTGAGAATCTAAGTTCCTTTAGGGCAGGCATTATCTGTAGTATAGAGTATATGATGTATTTCATAGTGTCACCCTTCGTGGAATTCATCTCTCTCTTTCTCACACATTTACATACATGCATATATGTATGTAAATGATCTCATTTAGTACTTTCTTAAGAAAATGAATTTCTGGTGCAGCAGACCTTTCTTGTCTCGCCCACTGCTCCCCTCAGCAATGTACTTCATCAATCTGCCTGTTCTGCTCCCCACTCTGTCCCTACTCCTTCACTCTGGTGAAGCCTCTCACCACTCCTGCACCTCTGTCCTGTATCCCAGTTCTGCATAAATAAATAAATCTTTAAAAAAAGAAAAAAGGAAAATGAATTTTCTTCAATTCAACCAATAAATGTATAAAAGTCCTAAACTGACCAAGTCCTGAATAATGTCGCCTTCATAAGTTATTACTGCTCCTCTGCTGAATTATTTGATTATTTTATCTAATTACTAGTTAGTATTCTTAGCCTCTTCAAGGTCTTCCATCTAAGAGGCTACAAAATATAATGGGCCTTTTACCCCCCCCCAAAAAAAATAATCTCTTTAGAAATATGAAACACCATCTTAAACTCTATGGTGGTGAGGATCTCCTGACAGCCTGAAGCATCTAGATTAGAACTGCTTCCTCATGAGTCTTCTCTGAAATCTGTTTTTCCACTGTATGACATTTAAGACACTTATACACTCAATGAAAAACCTGAGGTGCTTCTTGCGGCCCTTTTTCTCACTGGCACAGAGTTGAGGTTACTGCACAAAATAAAAGTGATCACTGAGAAGAAATATAGAGATGGTTAACTGATAGTCTTTCCCCTGGATAACCATATCCTAGTCTCTTAGACAAGTTAACCACACTTACCTTTTGGTCTTGGCTGTATGCCAGAATCCAGTCCTCTTGTTTCGGGTGGAAGAGCAAGCTCTGGATGTAGAAATTCAGTCGGTACTTTTGATAGGTTGCCCCTTCGTCTGAGCTGATCAATAAACTGCTTTCAATCTCTGGGTCTGTGAGTAACATAATCTGCGAAAAGAATTGTTGGAGAAAGAAAACAACAGAAAGTTGTTTACAGAGGCACACAACTTGAAAATGAGCTAAAATATGGATGCAAGAAATGAGGGTCAAGCCAAGAACAGTTGGTGAAGCTCTGACTATGTCAGTTCTAGTCTACCTCGAGTCTATGCCACATAACTATTTCACTAAAAGATGAAAGAGGCAGGAAAAGATGGAAGGAGAGAGGAGGAAACATATGCCTGCGTTTTCTTCTCCTCCAGGAGAAGGACTACTTGCTCTTTATTTTCCCACAAGGACATGACCGTAATCTCCTCCCCTAACCCAAATCCTCCTTCCTACTGTACCTTGTCTACTCTCCATTTAGGAAAATCAATCAACGAGTCTATTGTGGGAAATGCAGAAAGAAATAGAGAGAAGATGGAGTCCATGGTTTTTTCTCTCCTACCATAAGCCTCTTTGTTCACATTAACACTAACCCATGTCATCCTACACTGAGCCTGAATCTTGAATCAAGTCTGGACTTCCTATAGCTTTTTCTGGGCACTGTTCACTTCATTATTGCCTAACAAACCATCTACTTATTCATGTTGCCAGGGTATATATAACTTCTACTAAAATCGTGACAAACATATTCCCAGCAGCTAAGTTAAGGTCCAACATATATTAGTATGCAATTGATAATGATGAAATGAAAAATGATGGAATAGAAGGAATTTTCCACACATCCCATGGATGGGGCAGCTGAGAAGGATGCCCTTCTCCATCTTCACTTTGCTGATAAGAGAACATGCTATACATGTGTAAAAATTCACAGTTTCAGATCCTCAGCTGAACACTCCACTGGGATGGTTAATCTTTGGCCAGAGCACTGTGAACAATCTACAAAAGGGGAAAGATGGAAGAGCTGACTGAAAACTGCTTTTTAGTCTCTCATTTTATGCCTCTAGGAATGTGTGATAAAGTACCTCATTCCTGATTCTCTGCAGGTCTTCTTTCACTCAGTCAAAGTGTGCACCTAATGTCTCCAGACAGGTGGCCTTAATGCTACCCACTGCCTTCCTCCCCATCAACTTATTAATTGGCACTTTCTGAGTTTGGTTCGGAGAAGCATGAAAAATATGCTTAATGGGTGGCTATATGAAGAGAAATCACAGCGGCCTCAAGTTTAAAGATTACCAGCCGAGGATGTGGCAGTTGCAGGAAGAGAGAGACAGGGGGGTGGGGAAAAAAAAAAAGAGCGATTTCATAAAAGAGCAGGGTGCCAGGAAAACACAGCTTTCTCCAGCATTTGGAGGCAATCATATTAAAGCCTCAGAACAGTTAGTGTCCTCCTCAAAGGCAGCTTCGTGTCACTGCAAATGGCACCAAAGCACACACACAAGACACTCTCAGCCGGAGCCACGTCTCTGTGATCTGGGGTGGATTCCAGGTTCCTTGCTGCCCTTCAGCCTTGCCTCTAGAAGTGCTGAAGGAGGACTCGGGGGGAGGGAGTGGGCAGCCAGCTGTGCTCCAGATGAGGGAGCACACACAGATAATTGCTCACCCACATAAAGTGCAGCAAAGTTAGTGGTTTCTTTGTCTTTCAGTCACCGAGTCAAATGTGTCCCCTCACTGGATGGCTGACGTGAGCCCATCAGGACAAACTCACATGTCTTCATCGAAATCTTTTCTATGCATTAAGCCAGGACAATCAGATGGCTCCTGAATTCAACAAAATATTTCCAGGTGATTTCCTTTTTACTCGCGCATAAAAGCTGTCGTTTTCCAAATAGCAAATAAGGCACCGATTGATCATATTGCTTTGTGTCTCCAACCACAATTAACAATGACATAGAACAACCTTTGTGTGCTACTGCCAAAAAGTAATTTCCATAATAATATGAAGAGGCTCAATTTTATGGAGCATCTATTGTCTCAGGCAAGGTAATTTTCCCTTCTGATTTTCTAATTCCCCGTTAACCAGATATGTTTTCCTTTTCAATGAGTGCAGATCTCACCACCTGCTTCTCCTAGCAGATGACTTCATCAAAATAAAAACAACAGGCCTACCATATATCCTCAAATTGAGCTGATATTTATTTATCATTTCTTTAAAATATTTTGATACTCACTTATCCTCTAAGCCATCTGACTGTATGGGATATTCTGCATCCTGGTAATAGTGAATGGATATAATATGCAAATATTTTCAAATATACAGAAACTTAATTCTGGGTAAATAAATCTCTGGAGTTCGTGGCTTTCTTCTAGGTACTAATATAGCACAGTAAAACCTTACCTTCTCCATATACCTTCTCACCCAAACCATCTATTTGGGGTTCTAACACGTTGGAAATGGTAGACAATGTCAGGAGACTTTCCCATCAGATTTAGAGGTGCACCTGTATCGCGGAAACCTTCCTGAGATTCCTTTCTCAAGTCTCTGCTTAAATCCACTCAAAAGTATCAATCTAGATTTATTATTGTTTAGCTATTTTTAAAGGAGTATATTTTTTTAAAGATTTATTTACTCATACAGAACTGGGGTACAGGCCAGAGATGTGGAGGGTGAGAGGATTCACCAGGAACAGAGTGGGGAGCAGAACAGGCAGATCGACGATGTACACTGCTGAGGGGAGAAGCGGGCGGGTCAGGAGAGGTCTGCCTCGCCATGTGGATCTCCTCGGGGCAGACGGGTATTGAACTCATGCGGAAGTGGCTTTAGCTTCTCAGTGCTGTGCTTTAACCTGCTGCGCCACCAGGGAGGGCCTGTTTAGCTATTTTTATTGTGCAAACCGCTTTCTAAGGCTAAGGCTGCCCACGGAATTAAAAATAAAATAGTTTGTGATTCTGCCTATTCCTTCAGCAAGTTAAACTATATTTGTGCTTTCTACTACTTCTTGTTCAGATCTGTATGTCACACCAATGGTTGAGTTGGAATTTGTTATTCTGATTTTTTATTTAATATTATGATCTGTAAGCATTTTTAATTGAACTATAAACACACATGCATGCACACATACTAATGCATACAGCTATGTAATTCCTATTAGCCACATCTTTCAAAATAATTAAATTACAGCGAACGCAGTGGTTAAATCATAGAACTACTTAATCAATTATTGCTAACTAAGTAAAATTTTATTATTTCAGCCTTCAAATTCAAATTCTCTGGCAATGTTATTTCAAATGGGTTAAACAATTTGTCACATTTAATATGTTATTAAAACTAAGTTAGTAAATCGATAAAGAATTTAAGCTAGACCTATATTTAACAGAAAATATTTACCCTATTTGAGGGAAAAGCAGTGCAAATAAAAAATGTTATCTAATCCTCAGACATATATGGGGCCAATTATAAATAAATAAGGCTATATTTTTAAGAAGGTATTTTACTGGGAAATATCAAAACTGTAATTTCAAGTTAGTACTTACATTTCAAAAATAACAGATTACATTCCTTAAATAATCCCAGCGATCTCTCTTTTTGTTATTTACACTGGCTACCTACCCACATCTGGCTCTTGATTTGTTTAAATAGCATTTTGTTACGTTTAATCCTCTGCATTTTGAAATAGCATCTGAATGATAAAATTTTAGGAGGATTCTGTAAAAGGCATCAAACCAAGCTTTCACAATTCCTGAAATGTGCTCTCTAAAAAGAGGGGTCATCACTTATTTGACATAAACTGTGATCCACATATCTTAGAAAATAAACAAATGAATGAAAATTGAATTAGTGAGTGAATGAGTCCTTTTTTGCTGAATGCAGTCCAGTGACCATTGCAACATTGAAAGTGCAAGTCCATTTAAGTGAATCTCTATTGTTTTGCTTGCAAGAAAGGAGGGTAGAGACAGGAAGAAGAGCCTACCTCAGTCAGGAAAGTAATTATTCTCTGTTCAGATCAGCTCATGAGTGATTAGAGCCAGTTTGCTTATACCTTGCAAGGTGTACAGACATTGCAATGATGGGACCTGTAAATGAATTGTTTTCCATGGAAAGTCAATAATGACAACACAGGCTCTTGCCACCCAACTCTAACATCATCCATCATCCACTCTGCAAGAAGAAGAAACTTTACTGTGCTTTTCCTACAGGTGACAAATGAACAAGAAATGCAATTTATAGATTTCAAATATGTCACTTCTTTCATTTTTTGGCATCAGTCTTTTTGGCAATGCAGTGTCATCAGAAATTAAATGTATTTTCACTACTGTGTTCTGCTCCAGATTCTACAGCATGTGATTCTAGAAAAGGTTAACTGGCAGCATTCTGATTTTTCCAGGTGCCTACTGAGGACAAGTCCCCTACAGGAATGCAGCCACTATTCCGCTGTCCATATTCTTGTCCTGGGTATGGGGTTCTTAGAATACTGTTTCGACGCAATGGTGATACTAAGGGTAGCTTCACTACTTAGATACCTACTTTCCTCCAAATTTCTTTGACTCTAAGGGAAAGAATAGTTGTTGTATGGGGTGTTGCTTGTTACTTATTTGTTTAATATATCTACTCATTGTCATTCGTGACCTAGAATCAAGAAGCAATAACATACTGGGAATATCTCTCTTGTTTTTAATCAAGCTTAACTCAGATCCAGATGTTCATATCACAGTGCAAGGTAAGTATTTTCTACAGTGATAATGACAGTGGAAAAGAGAAATCACTGTAACAGCAGTTGGGCACTGCAGTTATCTATTCACTTTATTCAAATAAAAATCTATCTATAATTGGTACAAGAGGCTAGTTACAAACCTCTGACTTTGATATTAAAAACAAATTAAGCAAAAAGCAATCAGAGCAAGTAAGTAATTTGCTGACCAAGGTGGGTGGAAAACTGCCTAATCCCAGTGGGAGCTAAGCATGTATCCTTCCTAGATGAGCTAAGAGTGAGAGCAATAAGTACTTATCAATTGGTAATTGCTAGAAGACAGTATTAAGGAAAGTTACACCGGATCCTCAAACGACCCATGAAAGGAAATCACTGAAGAAAAAACAATAGTGAGGAAAGTGATTAAACAGAGAAGGTTCA